CACTAATGGGTGGTAAGTTTTCAGTTCAGAGATGGCAATCAGCTTCCTCATTGACTGGGACTATGGTAGGTGGTGGTTGGGCCTTGCCTCCTGTGGTTTCTGTCCACTTTCTAAGGCTGTTTCTCCAGCCTTCTTACCAATTCTATGAGCATTTCCACCTTGCCTTCCTTCCGTTTAATTCATTTCCTGTTTAAATAAGCCAGAGTTTGTTTTGTTGTTTGCAAACCACAAACACTGAGAGGAATAAATATCTATTATGAGCAACTAACTGTAATTCCATTATCTCTTCAATTGTCCAAACAATCCCATTAAGTGGGCAGTATTCCAATACGGAATTATGCTGTTCAAGATTCTAAATCCTGGAAGGATCTAAACATTAGAGTTGCTCTAACTAAAAGGGCTTTTAAATGATAATTCATTTATTCAATCAGCTCCTAAAAATGTATGAATTTGCTGTGACTCATGGTACATGAAAATTATATGATCTGATGGACAGAAAATACCTGCTGTGGGATGTCTCAGTGACATTCTCTTTCCGAGTCATGATGGTCCTAAGTCATTTATAAGATTTGGAACAGATAAAATACTATTTTGAAACATCAAATTAAAATTGTTCAAACATACATGCAATTTCTAAATTTACATAATAATGGAATTTTTAAGAAGCCAAGAAAATATTCCCAACCAATGTATGCAGAAAATATTGAGGCTAATTCAAGTCAGTCTCACCCTCTCTTAATTAGTACTTTACTTTTTCAGTGTTGACAAACCTAAACTCCAGAAATAGTCCTACAACGAAATCTGCCAAATCACCTCCTCTGTGTTTTCATTTTATAGCTGAGGAAAGTGGGACTCAGATGGGTTATAAACTTATGCCTAAGATACCATCCTAGTAAATTTGAGCCACAGCACTCACATTATGTTTTTTCTTTCTTGGTCTCTCTAAGGGTAATTTTTCCAGATCTAACTTCTATTCACTCCTTTCTTCAGGTATGTTTGCAAAGTAATATCTAGTATATAATAGATGATATATAACTGTTAGCTGCTACTTGTTAGCTGTCATATCATCCTTATGATAAATCCCTTCTTTAATCTGTTCATCAGATTTTAATTTTAATAATTACATTTTTATCTCCAGAGCTCCCTTTCATTCTTTTTCCAAATCCTTTTGGTCATGATTGCTAGTCCATTTTTCCTTGCTATCTTTATTTTGTCTTTCATTTCTTTAAACATGGTATTCTTAGGTAGAATGCCATCTGTATCTGATAATACCAGAATAATATTTGACCTCAGGGGTCAAACTCTGTTCATAGTTGTTTAGACTGACTGACATCCTTAATGCCTTGCATTCATGTGTGTTTTGTCATTTTTCCCTAGGAGTTCTCACTTGCCTAAAGTTAACATTGTCATACCCTGGAGGCTTTAAGCTGAAGATGCTGACTCCCCAAGATATTCTCCATCTGCTATTTCTGGGCAGTAGGGATGGCTCTCCAACGAGGGATGCTTTAATCTATTGGCTTTATTTTCTCTGACTTTATGGATAGTACTAAAGTAACCCTAGATCCACGTGAGAACAGGTCTGTAACAGAGCTAACAAATTCCACTGGAGACTAGTATTGTCACTAATTAAATTCTATCCAGAGTCACAGCCATGACGCACATGCTTTTGTCATTTCTTCAGTCTAGCTTTTCACTGATTGGATAGACAGTGCGAGAGTGAAACTTTAGGAGGGCATCTCAAGCCCGGCATCCTCCCTCTTGCATGACCTCCGTTTTCTCATACCCGGTATGTTCAGTAATCCTCAAAACTTCAGGCACCTGGTTGCATCATTTTACCCAGGATGACTGCCTTCACGATCACTCACCTCTCTGGTGTCCATTCATGATTTGTTTGAGTTGTGATTTTCAGGACATTCCTTACTTTCTTGTGGTCTCAGCAATGCACAGGCAAGTGTGGTTTCTTTGTCATTTATTCAGCATGTATGTATTCCACAGTATAAAAGCTTTCCAGCTCATCTTGTCCACCACAGGGATGGCTCTAATTAAAATGGCTGCTCTCCAGGCCCCACCAGCCAGGGAGAAAGAAGATGAGACACTTAACTTTCATGTCTCTTGCTCCCAGCATTTTCACATGCTCCCAGAAGAGTCCTGCCAAGCCCTAAGAGAATGTCTTACAGGTGATCTGAAGTTTATGTTTCCACCTTTTCTTGTGTGCTCTCTAGATTGCCGTGCTGTTATTTCTGGTCACCAGAGATATCAAAATGGTCATTCTGTCTCCCTTGTCCACGAATCACCCTCTGTTTGCCCCAGCTGCTGCTGCTGCTTCTGCCCAAGACCCAGGACACCAACTTTTGAATGGAGAATGCCAATACCAAGAGTCACAGCACCATCCCATTCACTCTAGGCTGGCTCACCCTTGTGATCAAGACCACCATCCCATGGCTATTGTCATCTTTGTTTTCTACTTCCACACCAGTCATGGGCAGAACACCTTTTTACTTATTGTCAGCAAGGGAGCATCAGGGTCAAAACTTCATTATCCCTATAAGCAACATGCTCTGAGCACACCAGGCACTATGTAATTTCTCTACACACATCATCTCATTCATCCCCAAAATAATAGTCTATAATCCGATGGACTCCAACCAGGATCTTCCAGCTGCACTAAGTTGTCTCTCACTATTTTCAAACTAGCATCTAAATCATATAGTGGTTAAGAATGCTTGTTCTAGAGCTACACTGCCTATGTTTAAATTCTTGCTCTGCTGCACACTATGTGTGACCTTGAACAAACTACTATACCTATCTCGCAGGCTCAGTTTTTCTATCTGTTAAATGAAGCCAGTCAAAGGACACATCCCATAGGGTTGTCAGGAGCATGAGATAAAAGAATCACTATAAAATATTTGGCTCTACCATAAAAAAGAATGAGTTCATGTCCTTTGCAGGGACATCGATGAAGCTGGAAACCATCATTCTCAGCAAACTAACACAGGAACAGAAAACCAAACACCATTTGTTCTCACTCATAAGTGGGATTTGAACAATGAGAACACATGGACACAGGGAGGGGAACCTCACACCTGGGGGCCTGTCAGGGGGCGGGAGGAGTGGGGAGAAATACCTAATGTAGATGGTGGGTTGATGGGTGCAGCGAACCACCATGGTACATGTATACCTATGTAACAAGCCTGCATGTTCTGCACATGTACCCCAGAACTGAAAGTATAATAGAAATACACAAACAAATAAAAATGTTTGGCTCTATGTCTGGCACATTGGACATGCCAAATAAATGTTAGATACACTTTAAGTTCGCTATTATTGGTACTGTACATCAATACAAAAGTAAGTGAAGTCAGGATAGATTTTGCTAATAGTGACGTTTTCATTAAATGGATATTAAAAGTATAGTTAGTGTGATGATATCCATGCTAAAAGGGGGGCCACAGATACTAAAAGGTCACAAAATACTGGCCTATGCTATGGGCATCCATACCTATCTCACAGGGTTGTTGCGAGGATTAAAAGAAAACGGAACCGGGTGGCCAAAGGCCCAGGAAGGTAACACCCATCTGTGCCCTTGATGGAGATCTAAGTCATGGGGACCTGAGAGTGTGGGCTCTGCAACAAGAGCAGCTTGTGTGACAGAGATGGATGGAGGTTGCGACAAATCTCTTCTCACCTCCCTGATACAGAGCTCAATAGGCCACAGCTGCCCACTGGTTAGAGTTCTAGAACAGTTGAGAGAGATTATAGCACACAAAATCAGTACTTCCTCAGTCCAGGATCTCACAGTGGGTGACAGGGTAATGGTTTTCAGGAATCTCTTTTGGTTTCTGAGATTAAAAATGATATATATCAAAATAATATACTAGAAAAGAACAAAAGGAAGTCAAATGAAGGGCATAGACTTGAAGAAACACTAGGGAGATTATATTTATTTATATAGTGATATTGTGTCTATACTTATCTCTGTGTGTGTGTATATACACACGTACACACACCACACACACTCACACACACACATACCACACACACTCACACACACACACACACCTATTTATCTGCACTTTTATCACCAGTCCCATCTTTCTCAGCCAATCAGGTCATTTTCTGCAGACTTGATGACCACCAGGAGATTTAACATTCTCTCTCTCTCTCTCTCTCTCTCTCTCATCTCTCTCATTCTTTCCCACCCCCCACCCCCATCTCACTGCTTAGTGTCTTTGTTTCCTGGGACATGGAGTCATCATTTGTACTCATTGAAATGTGTTGATAAGAACTTTGCAGAAAGAAAAATGGGAAAGTAAGAAGAAGAAAGAGAAGAAAACGAAACACATGAAAACACTTGTGTTCTAGTTAATAAGTAAGACAGAGCAAAGTCTAACAAACCCAAAGTTGTATTTTTTTGGCTAGGAGCATATTGTTTATTTACTAAGGATGCTACTTACTCCTTCCTAATTTCTGTGAGACCATGGAACACCTTTTAGTGACATTAATTGCTTTTCAATTCAGTAAATCTATTTTTAGCACCTGCTGAGCAGAAGGTACACAGCTGGATGTGTTGGAAAATACAAAGTTCAAAATACATCTCTTCCCTTTCACTCATGTCCATGCATGTCAACCATAATCACCCTTCAAGGCTTATATATGCAATTATTTCTGATACCCAGTATTTAGCAAGTAGTATGTACTCAATAAATATTTGTTTAGTGAACAAATAAATAGGTCTGCTCGAATGTCCAAACAGTACAGGCACACCACAGTACCAGTGGGTAGAGACATACCTCTCCCTTCCTCTCATTTTAAAAATGACCCAAGCCAGGCAGTGACCATCAGCATCAAACCCTGTTTCCTTCCTTTGAATCACCCTGGTTTTGGAGTTTCTCTTGCCTCCTTTGTCTCAGTACTTGCTTATCTCTATCTCAATTCACCACCTCGGTTCAGTTCCGGCACCTTCCCATTGTTGCATGCTGTCAGCACATCTATTGAAGTACCTGCCAGTTGATTTTGACTTTGTTGCAATATTTCACATCAGGCCTTTAGGACAGGGGCAGAGGTGTGCTGTCAGCTTTCCAGAAAGAAACCTCCAGCACAAAGAGGGTTTCAGTTTCACTCAGCTATGCCTTCCACTCTACCTTACTGGTTTTTAAATAGAGTATTGGCATGTTCAGAGCTGTGTACCTTTAGGGAAGATTGCCCTGAAAGAAATGGCAAATAAAAAGAAATAAGTCTGGAGGCAGAAAGTTAAGAAAATACTCAATCATCCAAGTGAGAAGAAATGAATGAACTAAGGTGGTAATGAAAAGGGAGAATAAGAAAGAAATGAGAGACACATTATGGGAAGTAAATGGTCTGGAAAAGTGATCAGATGAGATTTTGATTCAGCAAGCTATGGGGGACTGGTGATCTGTGAAGCACAGTGCTGTATCACAGAAAATGACCTTTATGGATCAGAGCTGGCAGAGAAGGTGCTGCAGAGGTGATGAATGGGAGCTGAGCACTCAATCACAAAGAGTAAGATGTGATTCCAGGTGGGAAACAATGATTCGGGAGCATGTGGTAGGAACCACAGAAACTCCCATGGATCCTAGTATCCTTACCATCAAGGCTGATAGGGTTTCAAAGATTTGCTGGACATTTGTTGTCCTTCTCTGTCCAGTACTCACTTCTTCTTCTGAAAACAAAGCCCATCTTTCCAATGGGGAAGCAAATCATTGTGAATCACCAACACTGACCACTCCCTTATCCTGGATGCCAGAGTGAACAAATAATTCAGCCAACTTTGGACTCTATTACCCTGACCTCAGGGACCGGTTCACCTATGGACAATAGGCCTAAAAGTATCCAATTAGAATTATATAAAAGATTGATACAATTTATTCCGAGGCATTAGAATTTGGATTTCTTTTTCTAGCTAAAATGAATGTAGTCAATTTATTTTCCCCCTCCTCTACCCTACACACCCACTATCATAGCCACAAGGAGAGTTGTATGTAATAAAAACCCAGTGCCAACTAGCCTAAGAGCTTAAGAACATTAAAAAAAAAATAGCCTGGTTCCCAAGCCCATTTTCCTTCCACCATACCCTACTGTCTTCATCACCCTTATAGAGGCTTCGGCAGAGTTACGTAATAGAGACAGTATATCCCCTCCAAGAAAAGAGATTTGTTCATTAATTACACAACCGTCCTCTCAGTATTTCTGCTCTGTTACCTGTTGTTACCTCTTACACAATTTTTTAACAACACAATTTTAAAGACAAGATGATGTGACTTAACATTGCACATGCAGGCACCTATGCCTTAGAAATGTGCTACTGGCTTTTATTTATGACTGTTTTTATAGTTCTCTTTATTTTCCCATGCTGGGCTTTTCAAGGTAAAAGTTTAGTTGTAAAATTGGATACAGATTAGGGAGGAACTAATATCCCCCTACTGTGGAGCTGAGAAACTCTATCAAGTAAACACCCACATTTTCTTCATTGAAGACACATGGCTGTGCTGGATTGCAGATGCTATTAGCACGTCTACTGAAATATCTGCCTTTGCAGGATGAGAAGACAGCTACGTGCTGACATTCTAAAATGAAACAAACCTGTGTTGTTCAATTGAGGTGCTGGGAGTCTCTTCTATTATGATCTCCAGATTTAAAGAGTGTGTTTCTTCTGAACACCTTGCATGAGGTAAATGTAATGTAGGTCTGGTGTTCACATGTCCAGTGAAAATCCATGATCAATGGATTGAGGTTTTACATGACTTTTGAGAAAAACATTTGAAAACCATTTGGAATGATTTGGACAGCAATATTAAAATAAGCCTATATTTTAAAAACTATTAATGAGAAAACTTATGCTACTAGACTTTTAGGGAAAATTAGGAAATCACAAGAAAATGTGCTGAACTCAAAGTATCTCAAAAAATAAAATTCCAAAGAAAAACTTAGGCTCATCACATATACAATTACTCACATTTTTCTTAGCCTTTCGATTTACAAAGATTTTACTCACAGACTCTTATGTAAGTTAGAAAGAGTTGGCACTATTATTTTTATCCTCTTTTGACAGCTGCTGGAATTGGGGTGTAAGGTGGTTAAGTAAATCTGCAGAGGTCAGACAGCTAAGAAATAGGGAAGGCATGATGCAAAGAGCAAAGAGCACCCCTGCCTCTCGGTGCAGGAGGCAGCACGAAAGAAGATGGGATCTGAAGTCTGGGCTTCCCAGACATTGGCCTCAATTTCCTGCTACATAGGCCCAGTTACTTAATTATTTTAACATCCCTGCTCTTTCTCACCTCCTATGGTTGCTCCTCCTGCTTGGAAAAATGTCCCTACTTTATTCTCTTAAAAAAAAATACCAGCACTTTGGGAGGCCGAGGCGGGTGGATCACGAGGTCAAGAGATCGAGACCATCCTGGTCAACATGGTAAAACCCCATCTCTAATAAACATACAAAAAAATTAGCTGGGCATGGTGGCACATGCCTGTAATCCCAGCTACTCAGGAGGCTGAGGCAGGAGAATTGCCTGAACCCAGGAGGCGGAGGTCGCGGTAAGCCGAGATCATGCCATTGCACTCCAGCCTGGGTAACAAGAGCGAAACTCCGTCTCAAAAAAAAAAAATAAAAATAAATAAATCTTCTTGTAAATTTGTTTAAGTTCCTTGTACATGCCTAAAGGGATATAAATCATTCTATTGTCAAGATACATGCATGTATACGTTCATTGCAGCACTATTCACAGCAGCAAAGCCATGGAATCAACCTAAATGCCCATTAATGACAGACTGGATAAATCAACTGTGGTACATATAGACCATGGAATACTATGCAGCCATAAAAAGGAATGAGATCATGTTCTTTGCAGGGAAATGGATGGAATGGGAGGCCATTGTCCTCATCAAGCTAACACAGGAACAGAAAACCAAATACCTCATGTTCTCACTTATAAGTGGGAGCTGAATGATGAGCACACATGGACACGTGGGGGAGAACAAGACCCTGGGGCCTATCAGAGGGCAGTGGGAAGAGGGGGAGCATCAGGAAGGATAGCTAATGGATGCTGGACTTAATACCTAGATGACGGGATGGCTATGCAGCAAAGCACCATGGTACACGTTTACCTATGTAACAAACCTACACAACTTGCACACATACTCCTGAACTTTAAAATAAAAAAAAATCTTTATCAGCTCAATATCATCACTGCCCTTAGGATATCTTCTCTGATGCTCACGCTTGCCCTCAAAAGCAGGGTTATATCCCCTCTGTGCACCCTATGCCTGCCCCAAGTTTCCATCGTACTTTTCAGAGTAACTGGTGGTTTATACATCCTATTAGGGGTAGAGATATTATGATGTGCAATTGTCTACTAAGGTTGAAAGCAAATTCTAAGGATGCCCAGGTGAGTCTCCTGCAGCTATGTCTTACTAACTGTGAGATCTTAGGTAAGTTGGTGGGCCCTTCTATCCTTTATTCTGACATTTGTAAAAAGAATATTGATTAATTTCTTATGGCTGTTATAGCAAATTATCATAAACTTGGTGGCCAGAAACATCAGAAATTTATGCTTGCACAATTCTGCAGGCCCAAAGTCTGATATCCAGTTGTTGGCAGGGCCATGCTCCCCTGAAGGCTGTAGAAGATGATCTGGCTAGTGTCTCTTTCAGCCTCTGGGGGCTCTGGGTATTCCATGGCCCGTGGCTGTATCACCCCACTATCTGCCTTTGTGGTCCCATTGCCTCCGCCCCTGTGTGCTTCTTCCCTGTGTGTCTCCTATAAGGTACTTGCCATTGTATTTAGGGCCATCTTGGATATTCCAGGATGACCTCCTCATCTCAAGATGCTTAACTGAATTACATCCGCAAAGACCCTTTTCCCGAATAAGGCCACAATCACAGGTCCAGGGATTGCATATGAACATATCATTTTTGGATGATCCCTATTCAACCCACTGCAAGGTATTATAACAGTTTACTAGAGTTTCTATATCTGTATGGAATATTGAAGGAGATGATGCACATAAAGCTCTCAAAACAGTACCTGGCAAAGAATAAGATGTTCAATAAATGATGGTCATTATTATCACTCTGTTTCCTAGTGACTATCACAGAGGCTGGCACATAAATATACTTCTTAATTCTTATTTTCCTGTTTTCTTAAGTCAGAGATGTTCACTAGCACACCTTAGATATATCCCTAACAGCAACGGTTTCAATGGATCATGCTAGTGAATCTTCCTTTTAACAAGGATTTTCAGTTAACCAGAATTCTCTTTCCCCGTGACATGTAAATCTTGGCAGTGTTTCCAGCTGTAGCTCTTTCTCAAGGGCATGGGGAATTTTGCTCTTTGTCAGTCCTCAAATAATGAATGACCTCATTTAAAATAAAGTTGAAGCGGTCAAGTGTATGTGATTATAGACATGGGAAGGCTATGAAAGCAACCGTCAACTAACCACTCTGCAAGATTACAGACATAAGGATGGATCAAGGTTGGCAAAGACATGACTTACCCAGGTCATTCCTAGAGTTGGCAACAAGACAGGATCTCTATTCATCCAGATTCGGCCCAGTCTTATTCCCACCAATGCTCTGCCTCAACTTGCTGACATCATTCAGTGAAAGAACTTATACTAAAAATATCATCTATTTGAAAAAATGGAGGATCAGAAGTAATTTATGTGACAACAAAATCTTACTCATAAGCTCTTAATACTCTATTCTAACAGACCCATGTAATGATATAGATAATAGCCTTAAAATTTGTATTTTGTATTTTACTTTTATTTGGAAACAGCACCTCAGAAAACCAGTATATGACATTTCAGGCTTATTTGACACCCAGAAGTCCAAAAGTCTTCGACTTTCTTTCTTTCTTTTTCTTTCTTTTTTTTTTTTTTTTTTTGAGATGTGGTCTCACTCTAATGCCCAGGCAGGAGTGCAGTGGCATAATCATGGCTCACTGCAGCCTCAACTTTCTGGGTTCAGGCAATCCTCCAACCTCAGCCACCCAAGTAGCCACAGGTATGCACCACCATGCCTGGCTAATTTTTGGTAGTCTGGTGCAAAAGTAAGTGAGTTTTTGCCATTAAAAGTATTAATAATTGCAAAAAAACATACTTCTCTTTTGTACCAACCTAATACAATATCATTTACAATATAAATATTTTTAATAATATTTTTGTAGAGATGGTGTTTCACCATATTGCCCAGGGTGGTCTTGAAGTCCCAAGCTCAAACTATCTGCCCACCGTGACCTCTCAAAGTGCTAGGATTACAGGCATGGGCCACCATGACTGGCCCAACTTTTCTTCATAATAGGATCACCCTTTCCTCTTCACAAACTTTCAGCTCCAACAAAATAAAATGCTGACTAACTCCATACCTATTCCATGCTTCCTTGCTCCACACTTCTGTTCAAACATTTTTTTCTTTGTGTCTTGAGCACCTTCTGCTCTATTTCTACCTTGCCAAATCCTGTCATCCTTGAAGTCTCTGTTAAAATTTTATTTGCTCCAGAAAATCTTCCTTGTTTGCCACCAACTTGAAAGTGACATTTCCTGTCTCTGAACCCTCATTTTACATATTTTACACCTTTCTTGTGGCATTAATCATTTTCTAATTTATATTTACTTACCCTCATTTTCTATCTCTCCCCTTAATTTATTGAAGTCACAGAGACATCTGTAAAATGAGAGTCAAACAAATAAACTGGAAAGTTCTTATGTCCACAGGACTTTCAGAGAGAAGTTAAATATGCAATCCTGATACCTTGGCCACAGCTAAATGGACCAAGATGGAACCCCAGTTCAAGACCAGCCAATCCCTGGGTTGACCAGCAGCTACGAGGCAGCAGATAGGGGTGAGAGTGATATGCTGGAGCTGGCTTATGGGATCCAATTTTCCATTTTCAGGATTTGAGAAGCCAGGTGACATTATGTTGATAGTTTGAAACCACCTATCGTAGGAGTATTTGTACTATGCAAATTGCCAACATACAGGTGTCAGAGTTTCCCCTACCCCCACGCAGCCTCCCACAGAGAGAGCTAGTTATTAAACATTTACCAGCACAACACTGATGATAAGCAAACTGACCCTTCTCCCTGGGCAGTAGAAGTGTGAGACCTAGAGAATGACTCTTTGGCCTTAACAGAAACAAAGGCAGAACTAACTCAGAGAGGAGGCTGTGTGTGAAAAACAACAGACAGACAATGGTAAGAGGCAGCAAAAGCCACAAGGCTGAGAGATAGGAATAGAAATGGCGGGTTCAGAATAAGCAGAGGCAGGGAGTGGTGGAAATGTGATGATGGCAAATTCCTGGAATAGAAACAAACAAGTGCCTCTGCCTTGGAATGATGACTAATCCTGCCTCCTGGACGTTTCGCTGGATCCCACATGACCTTTCTAGTTCCTGCTCATCTGCAGGGCTGGAGCGGCAGGGATCCTGTTTTCCTTACTGTCCTGCCTCCCAGATAAACTCTCATCACAGAGGACGTGCAACCCAGAGAACATGATAGGGTGACAACCACACTTTACAGCTCATAAAGTGCTTTCACATCTATCCTCACATTTAATCTTCGTGATAATTTTGGCAAGCACACAGGACACTAGCTCGTGTGAGCCTCAGCCAACACATGAGATAAGGAAGCTGAGGCTCAGAGGAACTGAAAGACTTGTCCAAAGATATGAGGCTGGAAAAGGGAAGAAATGAGATACGATCCCAAGTCCTCTGGCATCAGGATCAGGAGTTCAGTCCATTTTGGCATAGGTGAGCTGGAAAGTCCACATAAGATGGAAAATGCTTTAACATTTAGCCCTCTCAGATCACGGCCCATGAAGGACAGCAGGGTTAGTCGACCATCGGAAGGAGCAAAAATGCCAAAAGATAGAAAAAGTGAGAGGAAAAAGAAAAAGAGAGAGATAAGGAGAAAATGTGATTTGGAAGTCTGGGTATCACATATAAATAAATAATATAATATATAATTATGTACACACATAAATATACATATACAGTATACATGTAATATCACATTATGTATGTTATATGGCACCAAACATACCTTGGTTAAAATCTCAGCTTCCCACCTCATTGGCCATGAGAACTTGAAGAAGCCGCTTACCCTTCCTGAGACTCTCTTCATAAAGTAGACATCCAGTAAAGCCTGATGAGCAAATATATGTAGAATACTTGACACAAAGCTGGACATAATGTAATAATTTTATATATTTTATATGCAATTACTATTTTTTAACATAATTAAAACAATGAATAGCTATAATCAGTTATTAATTAGGATCATTAATCTGCCTTTAACCTAAGAAAAAAGTCGATAGCTAACGAAAGAGCTGCTCTATATAAATGAAGAATATTTTATACATGTACACAGTCTTCTTTACCAAAAATTAAAAATATCATTGAAAACATACAGGGCTCAAAATTAAATGTCTTCAAATAAAACATAAAGCAAAAACAACTGATGCTGGAACTTGGTCCCTGGGCAGGTTTGATTTTTGAAAACGACAAAGAGGCCAAATTATGCTTCGATTCCTGCCTGAACTGAGTGAGAAAGGGGCATGACTGCCTTGCCAGCAGCCTGCTTGAAGGAAGGCTGCAGATGCTTAAACAAAGGATATTGTATGCTGGACACAGCTTTCTGGGACCCTCAGCCATCAGGGAATTCTGCAGCCACATCACAAACAGCGTTGCTGAATTTTCCTTCAATTTTCTAAAATAGCAATCACCACAAAGAAGACACCTTAACGAGTGCTGTGAATGCAAATTTATTAGGCTGATCTAGAATAATAGTCCTTGCCATTGGCAGAAAAATCACCTGTATTCCTGGAGACGTCCGTATGTGGCTTTATAAATTCCTAATAGAGCCTCTGCTAATATATTACAGAACTAGACTATTTCCATCTGAAGGATGAGTATCTTATGCTGCAACCTAGAAATTAGACCCAGAATATCTGTCAGGGGTGCTGTTTGACTATAACCCAAATATAATTTTTTTAAAATATAATTTTAAAGCTAGTTAAAACACAAAAAATAAAGCCAAGAATTAAATCAACCAAGTAGCACTCACCTTAACCAATGACCACCTTTTGCATATGTGCTTTCCAGCTTTTTTTCCTCCTCATGTCTGTGTTCACAGAATTGAAATTAGAGTATCTTCATGATTTTACAATGCAAATTTTCAGGAATTGGCTCATTGCATCACAGGAGTGGAGCAAGAAATGGTAATTTGAAGGTATCCATCTTACCCTACACAGGCAGGATGCCAGAAAGTGTCATCACTAGAGAAGCCTCACTTCTTTGAGAAAATGTCTAGTTAAGGTGCTTCTCTTTGTATTCCAGGATAAGAAATAGCCCCATAGTGGTTTTTTTTTTTTTTTTTTTTTTTTTTTTTTGAGACAGAGTCTCACTCTGGCCCAGGCTGGAGTGCAATGGCATGATCTCAGCTCACTGCAACCTCTGCCTCCCAATTCAAGCAATTCTCTTGCCTCAGCCTTCCAAGAGCTGAGAATAGAGGTGCATATCACCATGCCAGGGTAATTTTTATATTTTTAGTAGAGATGGCATTTGACTATGTTGGCCAGGCTGGTTTCGAACTCCTGACTTCAAGTGATCTGCCCACCTCGGTTTCCCAAAGTGCTGGGATTACAGACATAAACCCCATAGTGTTTTGTCCCTCCCACCCAGGACACAAACTGATTCCAGGTTTTTGACCACATCTCAATGTGCTGCCACAGGGGGTGTTCACTCTGCCCAAAACTCTCTTCCCCACTGTCCATTTATCTCTCTGACTCCTTTTGAACACTCAGATCTCATATTACCCACCCCCTCCACTAGCAAGCCTTTGCTGACCCTGACCTGACCTGCCCCCTTAGGTTCAGGAGGCCGTACAGAACACTACAGCTGCCTCTTCTAGCACTTAACTATTTTAGTTTTGGTTTTCATGTCAATCTCTTTCCCAAAGGAAAGACAAATTATAGCCAGAAGCTAAGAAAAGGACCAGGAAGCCTGGCTCGTGCCACCTGCCATGGATGCAGGTATGCCGTGGTGGTATTTGAGCAGCAAGAGTGTGGGCCTGAGAGCGAAGTGGGAGCAGTGAGCTTCATGGGATTGCAGATGTGTCTGTCCAGATTCTCCTTATCTAGAGTTCTGTGTGGGCCTCCAGACTAGAGCTGGTCCTCAAAAGGGGTCACACAGGAAGAAAAGGAATCTTCAAGAAATACAGTCATGGCTGGGTACAGTGGCTCATGCCTGTAATCCCAGCACTTTGGAAGGAGGCCAAAGTGGGTGAATCACGAGATCAGAAGTTCAAGACCAGCCTGACCAAGATGGTGAAACCCTGTCTACTAAAAATTCAAAAAAATTAGCCTGGCATGGTGGCAGGTGACTGTAATCCCAGCTACTTGGGAGACTGAGGCAGAGAACTGCTTGAACCTGGGAGATGGAGAATGAGTGAGCTGAGATGCGCCACTGTACTCTCAGACTGGGTGACAGAGTGAGACTCCATCTCAAAAACAGGAAAGAAGGAGAGGGGGAGGGGGAGGGGGAGAGGGAGAGGGAGAGAAGGAAAGGAAAAAGGAAAGGAAGAAAGTCATGAACAAACAGCCTGAGGCTCAGGGAAAAGGATGGATAGACATTGGTTCCTACCATCAGGCACAATTCCAGAGAGGAGTGGGAAAGTAGGGGGTAACTGTAAACCCCAGCGGTGGGTTCCTGAGGAACTCCTAGGCCCTCAACTGTCAAGATGGAACAGGAAGACATATAGCCAGGGATGGCAACAGTGGTCAGCCATGGTGCTGCTAGCATGCTCCTGAATCCAAAGAAAGGCAAGAAGAAACACAGGGAGATGGTCGGTAGCACTGACGCTGTCTGGGGAGAAGGAGATTAGAATCTCCCTCTGTGGGCCTCAAGGGTAGGAACTCTCTAGACCACAGAACTACAAGATAGCTTACTACGCATTCATGTGCCCTCCCCAAGAAGCAGCCAGAACAAGAGTGGGTAGAAGGAAGGTGCTGGATAAATTTATGTTGGATGGATGGATGGATGGATGGATAACTGCCACACAGGATTACCAGGAGATAATTGTGTCTCAAGAAGTAATACATAAACAAGGCTGGGCTCGGTGGCTTGGTCCTGTAATCCCAGCACTTTGGGATGCCAAGGTGGGCAGATAATCTGAGGTCAGGAGTTTGAGACCAACCTGGCTAAAATGGCAAAACCCCATCTCTTATAAAAATACAAAAAAATTAGCTAGGCATGGTGGCGAGTTCCTGTAATCACAGCTACTCAAGAGGCTCAGGCAGGAACCCAGGAAGTGGAGATAGCAGTGAGTTGAGACTGCATCACAGCACTCCACCCTGGGTGACAGAATGAGACTCCATCTCAAAAACAAAAACAGAAACAAAAGCAAAAAGGAGTAATACAGAAAGAGTATCACTTGAGCAGTCCATCACCTCCACCAGGAGTCTGGAAGGACAGATCCAGAAGCCGAGCAGAGATGCAGGCTGTACAGCTCCCTGGAGCCGTGGCCTCATAGGGAGGCAGCTGAGCAAGCTTGCAGAGGGTAGCCTCACTGGCTAAGATTCTACTCTTCAGTCATGTCCTGCTCCTGAACCAGGTACCACCACACCATAGGCCTGACTCAAGGCAGGGTTCCAGTGTTCATATGTGCAAATGAGGAATGCTTGAGATTTTAGAGTTCTAAGGGACTTCAAGAGTCTTGAGGGTGTTTTCACAGTTCCCAAACTATAATATTTCAGTAGTTCAGATATTCATATACACATTTTATATTATTATATTGTATTATAGCAATGTTATATATTATTGTAATTATTACATTATATATAATTCTTATAGATTCTATAATTATTATATATAACTGCTTATAGATCCAACCAGCTGCAGATGAAAAATAGTCAGAGAAAAAAACAATAAAAAATAACAATGATAAAAATATTAAAACTTTAAAAAAAATACAACTATTTACATAGTATTTGCATTGCATTAGATATAAGTAATTCAGAGATAATTTGAAGCATACCAGAGGATGTATATAGGTTACATACAAATACTATGCCATCTTACGTCGGAGACATGAACAGTCATAGATGCTGGTATTTGCAGGGGGTCCTGAAACAAATCTCCCACAGATATCAAGGGAAAACAGTATATATGTATTTTATATATATACACATACATATATTACATACACACACATATGCACATGTATGAATGTACCCAAATACCCCACCACTTACACATTATAGTTATATGTCACTTAATGACAGTGATATGCTCCGAGAAATGTATCATTAGATGATTTTTTTCATTGTGTAAACATTATATAGTTACAAAATCCTAGATGCCATATTTTACTACACACAGAGACCACATGGTATAGCCTATTGCTCCTAGGCTACAAACTTGTACAGCATGTTACTATACTGAATCTTGTAGGCAATTACAACACAATGTTAAGTGTTTATATATCTAAAGATAAAAAGGAGCAGCATCAACATAATATGAAACATTTAAATAGTGTACACCTGTATAGGGCAGCTCCATTATAATCTTCCAGGATCATCATATATGCAGTTGTTTATTGAAACATCATTATGTGCTACGTGACTGTGCCTAGGGAGAGGCAAGCAGGAGGAGAGAGATAGAAGGATCATTTTAAGAAATTGGCTTACACCACTGTGGGAGCTGGCAAGTTCAAAATCTATAAGGCAAGTAAGCAGGCTGGAGATCAGGCAAGAAATGTTGCAGTCTTAAGACTGAAGGCTGGAAAGTTAGGCAGGATTTCTATGTTGCAGTCTCTAAGCAAAGATCCCTTCTTGTGAGGAAACCTTAGTCTTCACTGTGAAAGTCTTCAGCTGACTTGATAAGGCCCAACCACATTGTGGAGGATAATCCACTTTACTTATTGCCAAGTAATTGTAAATATTAATGACATCTACAAAGTACCTTCACAGGAACATCTAGACTGGAGCTTGACCAAACTACTGGTCACCATAGTCTAGCCAAGTTGACACACAAATTTCACCCTCAAAGCCATAACTCTGTCAGCTCTCAGAAAGCCCCTATGACCGACGAAACAAGAAGGCTCTTGGCTTTGAAGATGCCAAATTCTTTGGCCCCATTTCCAGACTCTGGCAAGGGGGAGATGCATTCTGGGTGAGAGAATTACCAGTTTGTAAAATGCTGAAAAGATGCAAACCAGCCAGGAATGACCTTCCAACTGGGCGATTTGCACACGCAGGGCAGGGCTCTCTGGGCAGCACCTTCTCAGTGCATTCCTGCACCACAGGAGTAGTCCCCCTGCCCATGCACTCTGCACCTTCTGGGAGATGGGGGAAAACCTAACCACAAATGATGAAAAGGAGCTCTTGTGTCATTAGGTGGGACTCTTGCTTCACCTGCCACTCCCGGCTAGACCTGGACAAATGGATTCCATTGTCAGGTTGTTGTAAATGTTTTTCCAGGCCCAAGCCATGCATCCTTCCTGCTCAGTTGCATTTTGATGTGATGGGAAAGCACTCACATACCCCTTCCTTATGTGGGCCAAGGAGAAGTGTCTGGAATAGGCTGTGGGAGCCCTGGCCTGGGTGCCCACCTCTCCACAGCCTGGAACTGGCTGAAGCTCTGGAGACAATGCTGATTTAACTTGATTACTGAGTCACACCCAAGCCTGAGAAACCAGGCCGTCCTTTTAACATTTTATTTTTCCTTTTTAAACAAGGAATCTGTTGTCTTCTCCAGACATGGAACACCTTTCTATCTTCGAGGTTGCTCACATCCTCATGACAGGAGTCAGCGGTAGGTTCATTGCAGGTTGTTTTATTTTTCATTCCCCCATCGGTGAACAACGAATGCTAGAACCAACCCACAGAGTCCTTGTGACAGTTCCATAATATACTGGAGACAAAGTGCATGACATAAAGCGTGTGCTGAACTATTCCCTTTCCTCTTCCTTTCCCTCCCTTCCCCTTCCTATTCCCTTCCTTTCCTTTATGTAACACCCCGTGTGTTGTCCCATTGACTGACAGGACAGCCCCTCGAGACAGGCACTGATGGTCCCTGGCTGGAAGTGGAAACTGGGAGTCAGTTTGTCATCCTTCTGGACTTGCGATGGATTGTAGGAGCACCTGCTTTGTTCCCAGATTTATGCATTAGCTAGCACACTCAGGCCTGTTTTGCAATGATCACACAGATCAAGAAAAACAGAGGAAATGGTTGTCAGGTAATAT